AATATTTAAATTTAATACTTTTAATTAAAATTTTTTTTGAAATATAATTAATTATAAATATTTTAAAAAATATTTATGTATTATATTAACAGAGAATTGTATTTAAATACCTACCCAATTTTTTACTTTTACATTAGTCCCTAGTCATAGTCATAGAATACTGCATTCTTTTCTTTTAAAAAATATTTGCTACCAACTCCCTATCCCTTTCTATTTTTCCATTTTGCCCTCGTACAAACCCAATTTATTTTTATGGTTTTCAATCTCAATCTATCAGTTATCTTTCGCACGAGAGAGAAATGCCTCCAACAAATGATCGATTGAAGACGACGCACATTCTATTGAAGATGACAGTCGGAAGTCAAGTATAATTTGTTGTGAATAAAGGATTGGGCCTAGGGTTTCGCTGCGAGATTCCGCCGGAGACCTAAATCTTTCCGCCAGAAGAAACGCCATCAGTTTTCGAATGTTCACTGGAGGAGGAATATGCTACAAAAGGAATTATCGCCCAAAGTTTTTATTTGTGTTTCTTCGCTACTACTGCTACTTGGAGAAGATGACCGCCGGAAGCCGTCGCCTTTGACTGCCGGTGATACTATCCTCCACCGTGAGTTGGCGTCGCCGACTGAAGAGAAATTAAAGAAATAATATAGCATGCCTTCATTCTCTATTGAATTTGAAGAACAGAACAAACAGGGAAGAAATAATTCTCTTGTGTGCTTCTAAATTTCAATTTGATGTTATTTATTCGGTGAGGATGTGTTGGTTCGATTTTGATATTTTTCCAACTTTCAGAAATATTATTTTGCATAGTCTCCATTGTTAATTTTTAATTTCGATTTGAATTGTTATTAATTTGGGTTCGTATATTTGCTTAGAAGGTTTGATTTGAAAAATTAATCGATCCGGAATATAAATTAACAACATAATTGTTTATCTTCACTGTTATCTGATATTATAACTAACTGCATGTATTTTTCAAAATGATATACAGTGATCCCTGCATATTCTTATATAGTTTTTAAAAATATTTGACTTTTTGTACATATAGATACAATATGAGATTCATCTAAAACACAACAAATAAAGTTGTACAATGAGATTGTATTTTAGATTTTTTTTTTTATTTTTTTATTTTTTTTATTTTTTACCTTATGGTTGCTTCTTAATTTTGTCTTTTGGTTGATCCAATTTTTCACTTTCAATTTGATTTTGTTCTCTGTTTGGTTACCTCCGGAATATGCTTATGCTATTATTTAAACGATTAAATTTTGATATAAAATTTTAGATTAATTTCAATTTTATTTCGGTTCAATATATATTTGTATTTTACTCAAATTTTGTTTATGCTAATTACTTTGTATTTTTGTTTACGATATTTGTTCCACAAAGCTCATCGATCCTAGATAAAAGAATGAACCAGATGGAATGGTTCTCTCTAGTTAGACTAAACATGTGGCAGTGGAAAAAAACAACAAAATATTTGTCGATAATCTTACGTAGTATCCCTATACTTATTAATCATATACATGTGTTATGTGGTATTATATATTCCTTTTGTTTGCAAATATCTTGAGGTATACTATGACCAATCATTGATGAATTCTGATATTTCTTTTATTACTTGTATGTTTGATAGATAGTTTTTAAATCTTTTTGCCACATATGTTTGTCTACAATGATGAAAATTGAAAATAGTTTTTGCTGAAAATGAGAGGGAAATTATTCTTGAAATAGGAAAGTAAATTGATATTTATTTTATTTTTGATAGATTGTATAGCAAACACAAATCTTTGTACGAATTCATTATTTTGAAAATTGGACAATACTTGTATTTATATGGGGTATATGCAACTCATTTACATGGGTATATTTGTGGTAAATTGTTAGATATTGATATATGATAGGTATTTAACAGTCCAAAATAAAACTTTCAAATTGCTAAAAAAAAAAAAGTATGTGAAATAATAATTGTAGTACATTAAAAGTCATTGTGAATATATGAAATATAACCAACCATATATTTCATTTACATGAATATTTGATTATAAAATCCAAATAGTGCTTGGTATCCTTTGTATCTATCCAGTAATCGTATTGATATTACACAAACTATAAAAAACTTCATCTGTCTACTTTAATTTACATTAACATAAATTGCACTGGTTAATATGGGTAGTTAAACTTTTATATGAAGTTCATACAATAGTTGTAAGAGTATAGATTTATATACCTAAGGTATATTGAATTTGATTATAGATGTATGTCTCTAATAAACAGGCTTTGTCGTTGCGTATAGAAGTATTTATATTCTCACGTGGGTATTAATTTGATAAACATGGGTATTTAAGCGTCTACCAAAAATATGTTATTGATTTTGGCTAGATTAGATGACTATGAGTTGAATAGATCATTGTCATTTTGTCGAATATTGGTGTCTATCAGCTAATACTACTAAAACAATCACTGAAATTAATTTGTTCATATATTCGATGGTGGATGACAATGTCACATAAAATATGTTTGACATAACATATGATATTATAGATCATGATAAGTGATATTGATGAGTTAATGGATAACTGATAGATTTATCTCAGTCCTCACACTTTTTATTGTCTTTGTTCATATCAACATTTTGTAGACTAAGAAAACATCTCCAACAAACAAATATATTAGAAGGTATGTAGAGTAAATATTACGCATGCAACATATTAAGGCTACTCACACTATAAACAAATATATTCATTGATGTGTACATAAAATGTATCCATTAGTGTTTTCCAGACGGTGTGGTGAATAAATATTTTTCACTACATGTCGAATATGTATTTAGTTACTTACAAATTCTATTCATCAATAGGAGTACATGCAATCATATCCGAAGTATATAAGTTAGTTAAATGAAGGAACACATATGCCTTAATCAGAGGTATGTTACTCAAACTTAGAGGTTTCTCGATACCTAACCACAAAATTTTTCGAATTGAATTATATTTCTTAATTCGCGGGTACGTACCTCTACTACTAAAGTTCATACTTAAGGAGAGCCGTATATATCGTATATTAAAGTAGAAACTAAAATAATCTGAAAGTTTTTGGCAAAACATAACTTCAATGACTATCTACCCCAATTTGACAACCAACTGCTTCAAATTTCAAATGTTTTCAATTCATGCATAACAATTAACATATAATTATGATACAATGATACTAGGCAGTCCCTCCAGGGCCTCTGATAAAATCTTTACAACAATTTTCGTTCAATATGTCTTAACATCGTCGAGTTCGGCAATTTATCATTTAGGCAAGTAAGTTTCCGTATTGTATAAAATAGAGCTCTCAATGAAGATGAGTATATATATAACAACAATTCAAATAGCAAGATTGGATAGATAAAATAAAATGAACAATAATGATGAAAAATACCGAATATTATCTCTTACAAATTGATTTAAAATAAAATAATTATAATAAATATAAAAGTTATTGAAAATCGTCCACAAACAATGCCAGGGAAGCTTTATTTTTGGAAAAATACATAAATGTCTTAATGGAGTGAGTTGTAGATACTTCAAGTTTTCTCATTAATCTCATTTTTCTCTTAAACAATGTCGAAAAGCTTTTACATGGTACAATAGCATTATCAGACATATACCCATATTTTACATGTAATCCAAAACTACAGAGACTTCCTTAGAAGAAAAACTTAATTCATATTCATCTTTAATTCGAAATGATCGCGATGTCAAACATATTGACAATCAGCTACAAGCGATTCCAAAGTAGCTTCACTTCCAGACAAATAAGAAAATGCCAAATGAGATGATGAGTTTTAAAGCTTTCAGTTGTTCTTCGTTCATCATAACTTTTAGTTTAGCTTTTTTTGCATATAAGAAGTGTACAACAAATTTGGAGGTAAGTCATTTGTATCATTTTTCGGGTCTATCATCATTTCAAACAAAGACATTTTTATAAATATATCCAACACCAATATAAGTTTATGACATAATTACACAGGTAAGTAATGTCCCGATTGAGACATGTAAATTAACAATATATATAAAATTAGTTTATGTTAATTATAAATAAATAAAGAATTTATATAGAAAATTTTATTCTTTATAAAATAATATAATATCTATATTGTATATATTTTTATTGCATCATAAATTTTAAAATATTTAAATACGTATTCTAATTTATTTAATCATATATTAAATTTATTTCAAAATTATCAATATTATTAAATAAATAAATAATTAATTAATTATATAATAATTTACTATTATTAACTAATTAAATATCATTACCTTAAATATTGTCTCCTTAATGAAATATGTCAATTATCTTAGACAGGATGAACTATATTTTTAAAATTTAGTTACTTATATTTTAAATTTTTAATTTAAAAATAATATATAAATTAAAAATAAAATTACAATCCAATATTAAATTATTTGTATTTAAAATTTTATTAAATTATATTTAATAATTTAGTATAATTAATTTTTAAATGGTGATGTTTTAATTATAATTTTAAAATTTAATTCAACTACTACATATAAATTAAAGTAATAATATAATTATATTTTTAATTTTTCTAAAAGTATATAAATTAATTATTTTTATAGTATATTATTATTAATAAAAAAGTAATTTTAATTAAAATTATTTTTGTTTATTTTAAAAGGTACTTTAAAATATGTACAAATTGTTTTTTTTTTTTTTTTTTATTTAAAGCACATAGCAAAGCTCCTATAAAAACAAATCTAAACAGGGATTAAATTTAGGTTGACTAAGATCCACTTCAGACTCTGACCCGACCCACATCCGAAATAATTGAACTTCAGTTAAACATGTTGGGTTCGGGTCGGGTCCGTGTACAACACTATTACATGTCAACTTCGTGGGCCCTACGTATGACAAATTATTCCACGTGGCCACTTTTAAATGGCTATCAGACATATATATTTACGGGAGAAATTTTCATAGCGGAAGGTTCGACTGACGGCGGAGGAGCAATGGCAGCGCGAAAGCGAGCTACGGCGACGACGGCGGCCGCCTCGCCGAAATCTGAGACGGAGAAGACGAAGGCTGAAATTGAGCCGGCGGACTTCACAATTCGTCCTGCTAAACTCCTCACGATTCTCAAATTCACTCTGGTGTTTTCGATCCCGTACTTGTATCTGCTTTTCGCTCGCTACGAAATCGATTACGAGCTCAAGAGACCAATCTTGATCAGTGCGGTGATCAGCATTCTAGGCTTTTTCGTTTCGGTTCGAATGATTCCTGTGGCGTCGAGGTATGTGCTGAGGAGGAATTTGTTTGGGTACGATATTAACAAGAAGGGCACACCTGACGGATCCATAAAAGTGTGAGTTTAATTTGCTTAATTCTCATTATTTTGAGTTTTAATTTTCAGTTCTAACTTAGGAGATGTGTGTACTGTTGAAATTTGAGCTGAATTTTGTGCGCGATTAGAATACTATGGCTAGGGGAACTACTGCTTGCATTATCGATTTTGAATTTGACATTCTGAGATGTGGAATTTTTCACAGTAGAGTTTAATTTTCGAATTTTAGGGTTTCCATTTTATTAAGTTTGCTTTTGATTTATGCAGGCCTGAGTCGTTGGGCATAGTTGTTGGAATAGTTTATCTTGTTGTGACGATCTTGTTTCAATATTTCAACTTGACAGCAGATTCAAATGTAAGTGCTCTTTAATTTGCTCATCTGTATCTGGATCTTTTGTTACGAAACGAAATGCATGATCAAGATAGCCTTTTCGGTGAAATTGTGAGAAGTTATTACCTTATTTAGGTCTTCAATTTATCTATGGAACCAGGGGAAATTTTTAAAAGCCTTTTTAAGGCACTATTTGCGATGACATATACTTTGTTTTTCCTGTAAAAAGTAGTAGTTAAAATCAGTCAGAAGATTTGCTTATATTCTGAAAAAGAGCAATTTCATAACCAGTTAATTTCAATGATGTTATAAAGATATGCTTATGGTGCTGATGGAAATGTATTACTTTACTAGAGTTTCAACAGTAAGGTTTAAATTATTTATTTAGAGAACTCAAGAAGTTATTGGAAGCAGCTGGAGTGGCCTGTGTTACTTTTAGCTGAAAATTACCGGTTTTTTAAAGTTGTTAATAGTAAAAGAGATGAACAGCCTTCAGCTATTTTTAATTAGTTGAAAAATATTGCTTTAGAGATTGCAAACAACGCCTAAATATGGTGTTGGGAGCAGCTACGATGAATTTCATGGTTCCGAGTTCCTCGTTAATATTGTTCGCCTGTTTTGGATTCCTTTCTTGTTCCCACACATGTAAATTTGTGTTTTCAATTTCATGTTGTTGCTAAGCTTTATTAGGTCATATAGTGACTTGATATCTTCTCTCTGAAGTGGCTCGTCGAATACAATGCAGCACTTGCATCTGTTTGCTTCATGACTCTACTTGGATTCATCGATGATGTCCTTGATGTACCTTGGAGAGTGTGAGTCTCGACATCTCATCTGTGCTATTTTCAGACCAATATCTGTGATAGAATTCTTAGCTGTTGTCATGCAATTTTGAAGACAGGAAATTGGTGTTGCCGTCTATTGCTGCTCTTCCATTGTTGATGGCATATGCTGGCCACACAAGTATTGTTATACCAAAGCCTCTTGTTCCATACATTGGACTTGAGATTTTAGATTTAGGTAGTTCACTCGATACTTTGCATATTCTTATCTTTTACTTAAGATTCTGTTATTTTATTTTCTGTAAATAACTATCTGTCGACTATAGGGTGGATATATAAGCTCTACATGTGGTTGTTGGCTATCTTCTGCACGAATTCAATTAACATCCATGCTGGTATCAATGGCCTTGAAGTTGGACAGACAGTTGTTATTTCTTGCGCTGTAAGAATATGTTATTTTACTCAGATTTCGAACCCCAGACTTTTAAAGCTGAATCTGACAGATTGCTGTCGCAGATCCTGATACATAACATCGTGCAAATTGGGGCTTCTACTGATCCCGAATATAAACAAGCACATGCATTCTCCATTTACCTTGTTCAACCTCTGCTTGCCACTTCTTTGGCTTTGCTCTCTTACAATTGGTAGAGATGCTTGCAATCTTTCGATAAGGATTTAAAAATTTCTGCATGCTGATCTGTGTTCCTGTTTCTCATAGGTATCCATCTTCAGTTTTTGTCGGCGACACCTATACTTACTTTGCTGGAATGACCATGGCAGTTGTTGGCATTTTGGGCCATTTTAGGTGTGTTTCTTCGTATTTGAACTCATCATTGATTGGCACCCTAAATACTTTTAGACTATGTTCTGGTGTAGAGTTTTTTATTTAAATGGCAGACACGATTTTGATGATTCAAAAATTACCTAAGATGAGAAAGAGATTCAGAAGTTCTTATATTTGTTAATTCTCATTATTGAATTCAATTTTCCCAATTAAGTAATAGCTTACAGACAGTACTCTAATTAGTTGAATTATTTCATTAGCTCGAACTAACTTTGCTATTCTTATGTTTGTTGAAAAATTTTGGTTGTGAGTTCTTAATGGCTTATTGAATTTATTTTATTTTTCAGCGAAACACTTCTGATATTCTTTGCTCCACAAGTCCTGAATTTCCTGCTTTCGCTCCCTCAGGTTCACTCCTCTCACCCCCACCCCCTCCTCTCTTTCTCTCTCGCACACAGCACTCTTGATCAACAAACAAAAATTTTCGAGAACAGACACAAGCAAAAGCTTATTTATATATATATGTGTGTATGTTAATGTTCATTCCTTTTCCTTCCTGTCAGCTGGCTGGTATTATTCCTTGTCCACGCCATCGACTGCCAAGGTCTGTTGTTCAGTGCTTCTTGGGGCACTTTTGATTAAATTGTTCTTCTCTACTTATGCTAAAATGTTTAAGGACTTGCAGGTTCGACCCCCAGTCTGGCCTGTTAACCGGGACGAATGATGGGACTCTCGTGAACTTATTTCTTAGACAATTTGGTCGCAAGTCAGAGAAGACCCTTTGTATTATGTTGCTAGCTTTCCAGGTAACAAATTCTTTGTCATTTTATATACTGTTCGGTAAAATTATGCTTATAAAGGTGAGCACAAGACTTAAAAATTATAGTAATCCCTTTGTCCACTATTAAGGTAACATTTACTTTTGACGTGAAGTGTAATGAATATTGTATTTTAATATTAGTTAGTAGATATTATTTTTTTGTGTAAAAATCATTTTGTCTTTGCGTTTTAATTTGATGCGATGATATTAAATTAAATAAGTATAAATTGAGGGTAAATGTATACATTGTGTTTGGATGAACGAAAATGACAAATGACACAATGTATGCCTAAAGAGTGGACGGAGGGAGTATTTTTAATATAGAAGTAAAAGTCATATAGGAGTATTTTGAAAATTTAATTAAGGAACGAGTTTAAAATGATAGTGTATAATTTAATGACAGTGGTAAAGTTGTTATTATATGCTGAAGTATGAGTTAATATTGTTTACCGTGCAAGCATAAGTTTCGCAGATAGACTTAAATAAAAAAGTAAGCATAAATTTGACAGACGGTGAGAGTAAATAAGAGCACGATTGTTTGAATGAGTAGTAGTTCAACCAAGATTAGGTATAACATTAATATCTGAACTTTTCAAAACACAAACATGTTGAAATGTTGATATTCAGTTTATTGTTTAAGATATTTGGTAGGTTTAGATTATGATTTGATCTTATCCATTATAGATTAAGGTTTTTTTTTTTTTTTTTTTTTTTTTTTTTTTTTTATATATAATGAATATAACACTATCTCTGTCCAGCGCCAATTTATCCATTTGCATTTGGCGTTATTGTTTTTAATATTAAAAATATTCTTGTATTTGTGTATTTTTTTTTATATAAATGTTATTACATAGTAGAAGTATTTTTGTCATTTTCCCTTCATTTGTACTGCGTTTTGATATAATAATTTATATTCAAAGATTAATATACAAAAATTAAATAGGTAGATTGGCGGTGGAAGGTGGTAGTACAATTTTATAAGTTTTCGTAAAATAATTTCACAAAATGAAGAGATGGCGAAGCGCTTTCGTATTTGGGTTTGCTTTCAATGTGTTATCATCGAATAGTCCATACATATAACTCGTCGTCTGTGCTACAGGCCTTATGCTGCGCGTTCTGTTTCTTGTTGCGATGGTTACTTACAGGATGGTACAAGTAGTCGATCCAACCCTGTCGTCCATCACTACTTATTGATTGTGTGTTGTGGAGTTGTACGAGCAACAAACACGGTCCGACAGAAAATTTGTAAGACTTTTCAGTGAATTTTGTAGCTTCAGAAAATGCTCTTCATCTTCTGAATTATGTAGCTTCTATTGTCCAATTTTGCTTACTTATGTTAACACTTTCTACATTCTTGCTTAGGATGCACTCATCTGGCGGTTTCTTTAGTTTCTACGTTTTTCTTTTCATAAAATATCAAATCAAATATGTCCTTCTATCAAACATGATGCTGTGTTAAGTCATCTCGAACTCAAAAACTCTATTTATACCGTTTTAACTCAAAAAATTGCAGTTGCTACAGTATTTTTACTCCAATTCACAGCTTTATTTTTTACTCCAAAAATAATATTCTTCAAAATATTTCATTTTATATACTCCCTCCGTCCAGCTAGAAAGTATACATGTTTCTATTTTGGACGTCCAATTAAAAGTAAACATTTCATTAAATACCTTACTTTTTTCCACAAATACCCCTACTTTACATCACATCATTACTTTTACACCAAAAAGCAAAGGCAAAAATGTCATTACACTACTTTTAACACCGCACCAAAAATAATTGTATACTTTTTTTGTGGACGGAGGGAGTATTATTTTAAACTATTTTTTATATCTATAATTAATATTATATTTTTAAAAAATATATAAAATAAATAATAAATAAAAGAATTAATATGTAAAAAAAAAAAACAAGCCAATGCTATAAAATGGTGTTGCACTGTAGCAAACACCATCAAAAATATAATTCCATTGGAGTGCAAAAACTCCATGTACGCCGGAATTGCACTGAAAAAGGCTACCCATTGGAGATGGCCTTACAGCAAAGGGAATAGAAAGCTAAGAGCATAGGCAATGACCAAAATAAATAAATAAAATCTCTATATCACACGTGTCCGCCAGGTATGTCCCAGGTAATTTTCCTCCTCTCATTTTGTTTGAGTATCTCAATTTTCTGAAAAATCAAGAAATGCCTTTCAAATTTAACTTCAAACAATGTCTCGATGCGGGTCTTAGAGAGGGAGAGCGAAGATATGAGATCGAAAAATTCATCTATGTTGCCTCTACTTCGCGAGGCCATTCCGAGGTTGAATTGAAATTTTCACCGTTGATTTTTTTATCGTTGCATTATATTTTTTTCGAAGGGTAAAGAGAAATGGTATCGAAAACAAAGAGAAGATTTTTGAATTAAGGCCAATGTATTAGCTGGAATGAGGCAATAAGACTATGGTTATGAACTCTTTAATATTTCATTCGTCCTAATTCAAAATATTTTTTTTACTATTTTTGTCTGTCATACTTAAAAGTATTCATTTTTTTGTTTTTTAATAAAAATAATCGTACACTAATACCAAAATACATTTTAACTTTATTTAAATTATAAGCATACTATTATACATACAAATTATTTATACAAAAAGTTAAAAAATAAAAATGTAAAATTTTTTTACACACCTTCACTAATAATAAAAATCCCAAATGACCAAAGGGACCGATGGAGTATTTTTTTACTATACAATTTTGAGATTTTTTATGAAAGGTTATTACATTTTTATATAAAATTATAATTATTTTATCTACAGAACTAAAATACAGGCACAAAAATAAAGTACAAATTAAACAAACACTTGGCTATATATCTATCGAATGCTTTTCACCTCATAAATTCAACAACCTAAAACAATTAAAATTGTCATAATATACAAGTAAATTTGATTATGGGCTAAAATAGGAGTTGTATATTTATATTTGGATATTTAAATAATAATTGAATATAATATTTTGTAAATTAATAGTAATAATATATTTTTATAAAATAGCGTGGACAATGCATAATATTAAAAAAAAAAAAAAATCTTAAAAAAATACTCAATATAATATTATATTTCCTTTGTTCAAAAATAATGTGTTCTTTTGTCTTATTTGATTGTCTTTGTAAATATATTAGTGTTTTTTCTTTTAATCTTTTTTCTTTTTTTTTTTTTTTATAAATGATATCTTTATAATTAAAAATATTTAGTACAATAATACTCAATAAAACTTTTAAAAACAAAATAAATTAAAAGTTTATATATTTTTTGTTTTATTGTTTGGCATAGTTCTCCTAGTATGTAACTGCAATTAGTATTTGACATTTAAATTTTATTTTTTCCTTCATTATTTTTTCATATAAAATATTATATTAAAATATTATTCAAATCTAAATTATATTTAAAATTAACTTCAAATCATAACCAAACAAAATTTTAAAAATTAAATTTATAAAATATAATATTCCATCATTTCGGAATTAATCAATCTATTTTGCTATTTAACTATATCCGAAATAATATAAAGTATTTGTTTTTTGGTAGTTGTTCTTCTAATAATATAAAAAAGAACTAAACTTTACATTTTACATATTGTTATAAGAATGCAATCAATATAATTTAACTGTCATAAAATATCACATATGTAAATTTATACATTCATCACTTACTTTGCTGGTTTATTTTGATGGCTATTAAGTTCAGCCGAGAATGAACAAAATTACTATATAAAAAAAAGAATAATAACGACTGCAAAATTTTTATGTCACCAAAAAAAAAAAAAAACAAGGATAAACTGTTTTTTAGTTCGGCAAGCCTATCGCAAACTAGTCTCATAAGTAAAAGTTTTTCGTTGTTTTAGTTCTCCAGCGCCGGAGAGGCCGCGTGGCTCGCCGGAAGATAGATATATTCATACGGGATAGAGAAAATAATAATTTCTTGAATCACATCCAAATACATTGTTTAAAATTTTAATAATTCTTGAATATGATATTTTGAATATAATTAAAAATATTTATTTTTTAACAGTTTTTTTATTTTTTTAAAATTTAAATATAATTATAAAAAATCATTTAAAAAAAGGCAAAATCATTAGAAAATACTATATCATCTACAAAATTATGCCAAAAATTTTTAGCAAAATTAATTTATAAAAAAGTTATTCTTTCCGTCTCGGATAATTGTTCATATTAGTATATCAGTGTAGACATGAAGATTTAAGTAAAATATAATTAGTGAATAATTAAAAAATTTATTAATAAAATAATTATAAATAAAATTAAAATAAGTAAATAATTTAATTAAAAATTTAAAATTATAAATAATGAATTTTAAAATATAGTTGAAATATATATTCCCTCCGTTCTATTTTTATATATCCATTTATTTTTTGCACGAATTTTTAAAAATATTAGTATTATATTGGGATAAAATAAAAATAAACGTAAAAAGATTAAATTGTATGATATAAAAATAATGACATCTATATAATATATTATAAATTAGAAAGAAATTTGTAATGTTAGATAAATAATATAATTACTAAAAAAAATAAATACTTTATTAGGAGATGAATCAAAATAAAAAAAATAGATAAATTATTAAGGGACGAACATAATAAATATATTTGAAAAATAGAAAGAGCAAAAATTTATATGAGAATAAATGTAAGAGCGAATATACTATGGTAAGTATACTAATAATTGGAAAGTTTATCCAAAAGTTTTTATTACGTCAAGTGGGCCCACTCGATTTTGGAAACAAAATTAATTTTGGTAGGAAAGGGTTTTAGCCGCCATTAGGGTTTTAGTCTCGTTTTCGAAGTTCCTATATATAAATTTTTATATTTATGTCTTCACTCGATTTTTGATTTAGGGTTTCAAACGGCGCCTCTTTTTGTACTTTCTTTATTTAATTTATTTTTTCATTCCTATTTATAAAAATTGATTTATTTAATAGAAAATTTCGGAGGTATTCGTTGCAAATTTGGAGAGAAATCTTTTGATTCATCGTATTTTTTGAATTCGATTTTATTTCTCTGGATTGGTGATATATTCCGATTTTAATCGATTTAGGATTTGAAATTTGATTTTGGGGATTTGGATAATTTTATTTTGATTTGTGGAAACAATCCTGTTCTTATTTAAATTGATTGATTTTTTATTTTTATTCTTTGTATTTGGAATTCGATTTCGATCAGAAGACAATCGCGGATGGGTTTTTCCGATCCTACGCCTCCGCCGACCATTGCGTCGCCGCCCATGTTCGGCGAGGGCGGCGGATATTGGGCGGCGTTTAGCAGCGAACAGCAGCAGAGCTATCAAAATCAACAATCGAATTCAATTTCCCAATTCGATCAGTTCTATACCTACCATAATCAAAACCCTAATCCCCCTTTCAAGCGATTAAAGCCTTCTGAAAAACCCCCAAATTATTCACAACCGAATCGACCATCGAATCCGCTAACCATTCCTGGAAACAGAGGAACGAGCCACATCTTCTACAAAACCAGGATTTGCGCCAAGTTCATCGAAGGAACTTGCCGGAATGGCGAGCACTGCACGTTCGCGCACGGTCCCGATGATCTTCGCGAACCGCCATCGAATTGGCAGGATTTGGTGAGGGAAATGGAGAAGGATAAGGGCGCCGCCGTCGGTGGTGGTGTCGCCGGCGGCGGTGGCTCCGGCGTCGGCGGGGTGTGGGGGGAGGAGAGGGGTTTGATGCATAGGATGAAGATATGTAAAAAGTATTTCAATGGAGAAGAGTGTCCCTACGGTGATAAGTGTAACTTTTTGCACGAGCGCGGCCCTCAGCCGCCGGCGAAGAAGGTCAGGGTGGATCCGCCGGGGCCGGGGTACGGCGAGAGGGAATCCTCGGCTATAAGTATTGGATTAATGGCGGATCGTGGCGATCCGGTTGGTGCTTGGAAGACGAGGATGTGTAGCAAGTGGGAGATGGGGCAATGCCGGTATGGAGACCGGTGTCATTACGCGCACGGATCGTCAGGTATATATATTGAGTCGATTGATTTTGTTTAGTGTTGCTTTGGATTGTCTTAGTTTTTCGTTGAATGATTCGTGTTAGTATTTTCTCTGTCGATCTTGCAATGATTGTGGGTATAGGTATATATCTATTGATCCGTGTTTAGATGGGAGTTTTGGAATTTTCGAAAATGTTAGGAATAGTAAACATTATATTTAATGTGATATTTTGTGAAAGAAAAGTATATCTATATTGATGTTGATTAATAATGTTAAAAGTTTCGAAAGTATATATATCTATCGATGTTTGGTTTGTGTTTAATGTTGTTTTGGTTTGTTCTAGTTTTTGTCGAATGGTTTCGTGTTTTTCTTTTCTTTGTTGTCGAGCTTGGATCATTAGGTATATATCAAACAATTGATTGTGTTTAACGTTGCTTTGGTTGGTTCTAGTTTTTCGCCAAATTGCATATGTTTGTGGATTTCGACTACTCGACTTGAATTTGATCTATAAGTTTAAAAAAAATTACATCTTTGAAATGAGTTTTGTTTCGATGATGTTTAGTAAGGATGTTTGGTTTGTTCTCAAAGTTTTAACATTTTCGGGTGAGTCTGAGTGCTGTTTTATAAAGCTCTTTTTTGCGTATTGTTGATGTGCATTGTGAAAATGGTATAAATTTTCATTGTTATGTGTTCTTATATTCTTTCTCTACCTAATTTTGTGCGTATATGCATTGATTGCGAAACGAATCGATTTTGTCTGAATGTCATGATCGTTGATCTGATCTGTACCGATACCTTAACAGATCTGATTCTATGCGATGGGCCGGAAATGGGTGTGATCGGCGGCGGCGGTGCGATTTCGAGAAAGGCGGTGGGTTCTGTACACGGTGGAGCTCCGCCGGCGAACATGGCCGTTGGCGACGGAGATGGTGGAGGGGGAGAGGAGAAGAGGTCGAAATGGAAGTTGAATAAGAAGATTAACCGGATCTACGCCGACTGGTTGGATGACGTGTCGCCGCCGCGCGGCCTCCCCGGCACTGCATAGATTTGATCCGGAGAATTTTTTGTGTTTGGCGTGTAATAATTAGGGTAATTTTTTATTTTTGATTCGAAATTTTGATATTTGTATTTGAAATTTATTTGATATTTTACAATAAGGATAATAAAGATTATTTGATATGAAAGAAAATATTGCCTCTTGTGGTTTGAATCTTGGGTTAAACAAATTAATAATAATAATAATATTAATATTAGTATTAGTATTAGTATTAGTATTTGATTTTAAGAATAAAAAATAAAATGTATCAAGCCCAAATTTGATTAGGCTCAAATAATTAGGCCCATTTAAAGATCAAGCCCGAGATTATATATACAAATATGAAAAGCCATTTTTTCATTAGTTTGAAATTATTAGTAGTATTATATAAGAGTTTTGAGAGATTTAATTTTGAATTTTTTAAAATAAAAAATAATTAAATATTTTATATAATATCTTATGAAAAAAATTATTTTAACGTGATGTTTATTTAATAATCACTGTAATGTCAAAATTTTAAAAAATAAAATTATATAATGAATCTTAATTTCATCGGACCGGTTGTTTTATTGTTTTAGAAATATTATTACTAGTTATTAGAAATTTTTAAAATATTTTGAGTGAAATCATTTTCACTAAATTTTAAATAGTTTATGAGAAGAATATGATATATATATTAATTTAAATAATATTTTAATACGATATTTTATAAAATAAAATACTCTATTAGTCCCGTATGAAGAGCACCGTTTGCTTTTTGCACGTAAATTTTTAAATATTAGTATTATATTAATTTATAGTAAAAAAAAATATATATATATATAGTATATTTATAAAAGTTATTTGCCAGTGTAATATATAGAATATTTATTATGTCAGGTAAACAGTACAGTTAATGAACTTGTTTTATCATTGAACGAAAATGATATTTTTTCTTATGGAATGGAGTGAGTAATATATTTTCATTAAAAATTATATAAATAAACTATAAAAGACCAAACAAATCCATTATTACTGACGAATTTAATCAAGCAAACTCATAGACATATAATTACAATCAAATGAATGAAATGGGATACTTAGGTTGTTTACTAGGAAGAAATACTCCCCAATGCTTCTCGACTTCAGGGCTCTTTTGATTCTCGTCGATCACATCGAATATATACGTTTCGATCGGTTTCCCGGGCTTTCTCGGTGTCCCATTTCGTACAAAATTAACCAAATTATTGTTATAAGTTTGCGCATTCTCCATAGAAGTCGCGGTCCCTCCATCACTGGGCCATCCCGTCTCGGTCACAACAATGTCAACATTAGGCCCCCCTGCCGCCCCCGTTGCTACGCTAAATGCATCCACAATAGCACTAAATAAATTCTTATATTCGTATTGCCCGTCCTTTACGACAGGAGCATCAGATCTAAAAAGCGCGTAGTCCAAACTGATATCTTTCGGGTTACTTATATACACGAAGTAGGGATAGACGTTGACGAGAAGAGGCGCTTGATTTTCTTGAAGAAATTGGATTATGGGATTTATGAACGGGGCGAATTTGGGTTTAAAAGCTCCAGCAGAGGGAGGGTAAGAAGTTCTTAAGACAGCTGCGCGTAAGGCAGTGGAAACCGGGACATTATTGTTCAGGGCAGTTTCTCGGAGGGCTTTGTGGATGTTTACCATTGCGGGGCCCACGAACGGGGCGAAACTTCCGGTGCTGGGATCGTATGGGGTTATCTCATTTCCGACTGCAATGTATCTGAAGTTCACTTTGTTAGAATATTGGGCAACGTTGTTTTGCACCCAAGATTTCGCCGCGTTGTAATCGTTGGCGATCGATTGGATGTTCTGATTCCGAACTCCTATTATGACCGAGAAACTGGGCTTTTCTGAAAGAGCTTTAAGAATATCCGTGTTCGGTTCAAATATTCGGATATTTGTAATACCGTTACTTTTGCATAGCTCAAGAACTTCGTTCGGTGAGGGTAAATTGTCGCCAAGAGTACCGTAATTGACTCCTACGATTGCACCTACATGTCACAGATCGAGAAAAGAATATTTTGACATTATTCATCAGCAGCAGTAGCAGTAGATTTTTCAAATAACATTACATAAAATAGTTAATTTATTATTATTTTTTGAAATAATTAATATTTCAAATTTTCGAAAAAACTTTTATATGAATTAAACGTAAATCGGTAAATAGAAAGTTATACGAACATCTTACATGCGAGAAAATAACATGGGACATAAAAAATAGCATAGAGACAATTCTTGCAAAATTCTTCATTGTAATCATTTATGTGATGAAGAATGAAATAATTCAATTTATTTGAATACATATTATATACACTATTGTTTCTCTTTTAATAATTGATATTTTTGGGACATTTGAGTTTATTTAATGTTTACATTTAATATTGAGCCATTGAAAGCATGGAATCTTTCATAATTGTACTAACCAAAAAAAAAAAAAAAATGATTAATGACGTAATTAATGTCAATGGTATTGATAGCAACTTATATTATTTTGATAATTGATTATACTTACTTAAAATTAATTTTACATCAAGGATGTGTTTGTTCGAGGGTTTGGATTTTGAGTTGGGATTTAAATAATAAAATTTTTGAATTTGAATAGTTGTATGATGTGATATAAATAGGTGTTGATGTGATGTTTTGAATGTAAAATTTATTTTTAGTATAATATAAAAAATGAAAAATAAATATTTGATTTAATGTTTTTGGGGGAAAAAAAAAAGGATGAATAGTAAGATTTTGTAAAAATCTTATAACCGAACACACCCTAATAAGAAATGATTTACATATATATATATATATACTTCCTCCGTCCACACACAAAGTAAATATTTATTTTTGGCGCGGTATTTAAAAAATAATAGTATTTTAATTATAGTGGGTAGTTAAAAATAGTATAATGCTTTGCTTTTTTGGTGTAAAAGTAATGATCTTGATGTAAAGTAAAGGTATTTGTGAAAAAAAAGTGAAGTATTTAATTAAATGTTTACATTGTAATTGGATATTCCAAAATTGAAATATGTATATCTTCTGACCGAAAGGAGGGAGTATAATTTATATTTGCCTTTCTTAAAATAATTTCCTATTCAACACTATAATCGGATGGTTAGTGCATTTTGGAAATATTTGGTTTCAATTTAATTTTTTCTTTATTATTGAATCTACAGTTTCTATCTAAATATATTATTTTTTAAAAATAAATATTACATTAAAATAATATTTATAAAATTGAAATAAAAAAACTCAAACCAAACAAACCTAACATTCCGACTGAATAAAGATTACCTTTACGATACAATTTCTTTCAATATGAGGTAAACTATGCAATAAATTTTATACATAATTTTTTTTATATATTTATTCTAAATCAAAATTTGAGATATTTTTTTTCATTAAATTTTCTATAAAATATATATTTTATTTTTTATGTGTTTTTTTTTAAAAAAAATTAATTTGAATTTGATATTAAAATAATATTTAATAAAATATTTTATTTTATTTTATTTTTTCAAGAAACTAATAATCTAAATAGTAAAATTTTAAAAAAAATTGTATAGAAATATTTACTGTATTTAAATATAGTCAATATAACAAGTGAACATGCAAATTATGAATAACTTCTTAAAATAATAAATAAATAAAAAGTTTGTTTAATTTGTATTTATTTAATTTCTTTTTTTTTTTTTCTTTGAAATTTAGTTTGAGAAAAAATAATAATAATACTTCTTCTGTCGTCCTATGTAGATTGCCCCTATTTTTCATTTACGTCCCAAATAATTTATCTTTTTAAAAATATATATATATAATTATATGTTTTAATTACATTATAAATTTTATAATTTATAATTTTCTTAATTATTTAGTTATTTTAATTTATAATTATTTTTATTATACAATAATTATTTTTACTAATACACTTTATAATTATTACTAATTATACTTTATTAAAATTGTCGTATCTATAGTAACATGGACAATTTATCCGGGATGAAGAGAGTATATATTTTTTGTTTATTAAAAATCATATATAATAAATAATAGAAATAGTGATTTCAAATGGAACCCAAACTTTTACGATGGAAATTAAAATGATAAGAGTAAATACGAAGGATTTTTCTTATTATTTGTATTCAATAATTATTTATTCTATTTTAAATATGTTAAATTATACAAATTGTACATGTGATTTTATGAAATTGCGTCAAATCTCCTGTACCTATAACTCTATGTTTAACCCCCTCGGCGATCTTTATTTAACGGTATTTGACTTAAATGTACTCAAACTGCAAATAAATTCTAGAATATCAATTTATAAACTCCTAATATATTCATTTCTCTCATATTTAGTCTGAAAAAATAGTAAATATACTCAAAATTAGTTATTTTTCTCAGGTTTTAAGAATTTGCTTTTACTATTTTTTAAGGATAAATATAAAAAATAAATATATTTGCAATTTTAGGAATTTAGAATTTAAGATTTTAAATTTTTTTTCGCAATTTCGGCGCATTTAGGTAAAATACCGTTTAAATAAGGACTTTCCAGAGGATTTAAACGCAATTTCGTGAAACTAGAAGTAAATTTTGTGCAATTTAACCTTTTAAATATCATAACTAAAATGTATGCTTCATTTCAAAATTAACTTGTACTTTTTAAAAAATATTTTAACATTCATATCATATGTCTCCAAAAAATTAAAAATAAAAATAAAAAAATTATTGCCTATATAGGCTATGTTTAGCCAAATTTTTAAATGGATTGAATTTTTTTATTTTTTTATTTTTTTTTAAGTGTGGTATAAAAAAAATTGTATCAAAAATATAAAATATAATATTATTTTAAATTGAATAGTGTTTGATTTATAACTTTTTATAATTTTTTTTTTTAACTTTTTTACATTTTTACATTTTAAAATATTCTATATTATTATTTTAAAAGAATATCAATTCAAATAGTATTAATAGAACATAGCCATAATTGAAATTATTTTAATAAAATATAAAAATTCAAACCAAAGTCTACCAACCACAAATACTTCTTGGGCCAACGAGTTAGGCTCAATTTGGATTCGCTTTGTAAAGTACTTTTGCTTCTATTTCTTAAAAAAAAAAAAAAAAAAAAAAAAAAAAAAAAGAAGGTATTTATTCATATTTGTATTGACTTCTCTTCGAAAGTTTTTTTAGACTCCAAAGTATTTTTCTGAAAAGCATTTTAGAGGATACTTTGATGAAAAAATTAGAAGCAGTTTTACTATATAAATTACCATTTTAACAATAACAATAACAATAACAATAACAATAATAATAATAATAATAATAATAATAATAATAACAAATTAAATAATAAAAAAATAAAATAAAAATAATTCATTTATATAAAAATTAAAAATAATTTCATTTTAATTATTAACTAATATATTTTATTTTAATTAAATTTAAAATTTATGATTGAAAATATCAAATTTTAAAAATATAAATTTTAATTATATAGTAGATAATTTAATATTTTTAAATGCTAATTTATAAAGTTAAAATAATTTGTAGAATAATATTATTTAAATTTTATTATACTTTTAATTTTCATTTTTCTAAAAAATTAAAAAATGCAAATATAGTTTCTACATAAAATTTAATAGATATATTTTCAATTAGTTTAGATAATTAAATTTTTTAAATATAATTTATAAAATTCTAAATAAATTAGAAAATTTTAATAAACAATACACTACTATTTACATTACTATGTCCTATTTGGTAATTTTAACAATTTAAAAGCACTTTCAACTTTATTATATCCAAATATTTTTTTTTATAAAAAACTGCTTTCATAATTATTCATCCAAACATAAAATAGAATTACTTTTACTTTTGACTTCTACTTCTACTTTTGGCTTCTACTTGTTTTTTTAAGCTAATTCAATCAGATTTTACTTGTGAATCTTACCTTACCAATAGGCCTAAAGTATTGATGAGGTGCTCAATTCATTTATTTAAAATTCAATTAAAATATATATATAGTTTTAAATTTTTGATATTATCCCAAACATCTTACAACCACACATAATTTAACAAATAGTATATCAAACAACCAATTAGATATGTCGTGGAACTATCCTATGCGATCTTTACAAACTTAACGATGTCATCAAGTGCGTTTGAATACGATTTTAAATTAAAATTAATATTATTCACTTCATATTGTAAAAATTAGAAAATAATAATAATAATAATAATAAAACACACCCGAACACAAAGAATTTGGTGACCCAATTTAATCTACGTCTTGAGACGACCAAGTTTAAATCATGGTACTTTCTCGATTCTAACTTAAGCTTCACAATACATCACCTTGTACGATCTTCAATAAAAATATATAATTTTATCTTACAAATTATTATCTATTTAAATGAAAAACACAAATTAGCAGTCAATTTCAAATCGATTTTAAATTACAATAATTTTTTTTGAGAAATATTGTTCACAATTTTATAAAATTACAACTTATGCATTAATTGTTAGTGGCAATTTAATTGTTGACTTTGTCGAAACTTGATTGTACCTACTAAACCTAGCAATAGGTTATATATATAATAAGCCAAAAGTAATAATGTCATTTAAAGCCAATGATTCATCGCATTATTCAAATATATTCAACACATCCATTATCATTGACTAGTGAAAAACTAAAAGTAAAATTGTCGATAAATCCAACGTGGTTTCGAAATTCAGCGAAATTTTTTTCTATATTTTAAAAATTGTATGATACCTTTTTATACTTTTAAAAACATTGCATGAAATTCCACCACCATGAAAACTCCCTTGTACGATGAGAAGAAGATTTTCTATATGTATGTTTTGCATGGCGGTAGGTTTCATGCAATATTTTTCAAAGTATAAGGCGGCGCCATGCAATTTTTTAAAATAAAGTGGGGATTTACGTTGAGTTTTAAAACCACAATGAGATTTCATGCAATATTTTTTAAAGTATAAGGAGACGCAATACAATTTTTAAAGTAAATGAAAAATTTACATTAATTTTTGAAACCACAAGAAAGTTATGAACAATTTTGCCAAAACTAAATACATTTCGATTTGAAATTCCGATATTGATTTACATTTATTTAAATAATATTTTGATATATATTTTTTAGTATGATATCAAGTGTATTTACTTGTAAGATTTTGGTTTTGAATAGTAAGATTTCGAATTAAAATAATTGTTTGATGTGATATAAATATGTATTGATATGATGTTTTGAATGTAAAATTTAATTTTAGCGTAATATAATAAATAAAAAAGTAGATGTTTAATTTGTTATTTTTTAAAAAAAAATAAAAATTGAAATAGTAAAATCGAAAATAAAAGCTCACAAGTAAAATCAGGCTGAATATTATTGTAATAACAAATTCAAACAATTTTTTTTTTTTTCAAACTGACCCAAAAGAAACACTTTTATTAGTAATCTTACTTGCTGAATAGTAAAAATTTTTATTTTTAAATAAAAATCAAACACACCCATTAAAAATACCTAAAATGAAAATTAGTCAAAATTTTCGCTTACATGAACATAAGCAATTAGAATGATAGCAATAAATAATTAAATTTTATATGATCAAATCACTATGATTAATATATGTATATACACACCAAAAGTGATAATTAAATAAATATATGTGAGAAAAAATTAAAGTATATATATACTTACATTTAAAAATATTTCATAATTTTCACTATGATTTTCTTCTTTAAAAAATATTATATTAAAAATGTAATTTTTATTTAATAATTTAACTTGAGATATTAAACTAGCTAAAGTAAAAACACAACTAAATTTCTTAGACAAGTTTAAAACTCGATGGGTTGTATTATAACAATTCCTACATACGTATCACTTTATATATATATATATATATAATAACTTTGATAATCATGATTATAACAAATTATTTATCACAAAAAATAAATAAATAATGCACAAAGGCTAATAGAACGTAATAATATGTGCCCAATTTTCCTACATAATAATATATGTGTAATAACCCCTTTATTTAATTTTATATAAATTTGTGTTGGCAAGAAATTAATAAGTAATTATTGTGGATAAAAGTATGATACACCAATTTTTTATGGTCGAACAAAATTCAAGAAACACAATCATAAACTATGCCATTACATTTACACTTTTGGTAATGACAAACATAGTGACCACTAAGGTATTACTATTATTATTATTATTATTATTATTATTATTATTATTATTGATAAAA